CAATACCCCCAGCGAGACTCTAACCATGGCACTGCAACGTATGATCTTGACATGTTAACCACAAGGCCACAGTGCTGCAAGTGTCCTTGGGTCACAGGGCAAATATTAATTTCAAAGAAGGCCGGTTATTTTCTCATATCACATTCTGAGAGTGTCGATGAAACAAAGTCATACTTGCAAGGCTATATAAAATTCAATGGAAACGTCATGTTTACTCTTATCATTGTGGGAAACTACCACAACTACCAGTCCCCTTATCGCCCTAAACGAAAGTCGATGAATATATCTCATATATATGATATATTGGCGGTCCCGAAAGCCTATTTATAAACGAAAAATAAGTCTTACAATATATGAGTTGTGTTCACCCTATTCCGTTTAAGGTGATGAAGGAGACTGGTAGTTGATCTTTCCTACAAGGATATGAATAGAGCTGATAGTCTCGAAAACATACTCATTTACGAATAAATCTTACAATGTGTGCAAATGTAAAGAAATATTTATTAACCGTAGGAAATTTTTGTGACCAAGCAATAGCTGAGTGTATTCACCTGACTATATAAATATTTCAAATATCACCCTATGGTTTTAACTTAAGAATCAATATTGACATTAAGTAGATCATGAATAAGAACTATACTCATCAATCGTCGCATAAAGCCATATGAATTGGCTTCAGACAGGCTTGGCCTGTCTCGGAATTCCCGTTTTTCATGATACCCAGTGTCACCCGTGGCGGTGGGGCGTAGTGGCAACATGCTAAAATGGTTAGTTGCACTGCAGGGATTCAATTTCGGTTAGAGACGCTGGTGAGACCCACGCGAGGTGGGAACTGTAGTCAAGTCCAGCCTTGGGAGAACACCTTTTGGAGGGTAGGGCTAAATTAAATTCACAGCTATTGTGAGGCCTAGTCATATAATTGTGTGAAAATTCAACTAACACTGCTTCATCACCTTATGAATAAGATTAAGCTCATTTGTGCAGCGACATAAGCTTAATAAAAAAAATAATTAATATACTGTATATTATAAAAAGATCGACAGTACTACAAGCTTCACCAAAAACCAAATTCACACAAATCATATAATTAAACGGACTGTTTTTGCTTTAGTTAACCTATTTTAAGCCAAAATAAATCGTTTTCTCGAATTTATGAGATGGAAAAGTATGCACTAGAGGCACAAAAACCCATAACTAATAAATTAAAAAGGGTCAATTAATGAACTTGCCTTTTATCTTACCGCCAGACGCTTTGTCTGCCCAGCCTACTGATCCAACTTTATTATTAAATTTCATGTCTTTGCCAGATAGCTGCTTGGTTTGTTGTTGAATTCGCTTGCCAGTATGAGCTGTAATACACTCTCGATGCCAGGCCGCCAAACTTAGCCGAACCGTGGCTGGAGATAAAAGATCAGCCAATAACGGCCAAACTAGCAGAGCCACCTGGCCGGAACGTAGTGATCGCACGAGCCAGTTTGTAGCATGGGCTCGAGCTAAATCTTCAGTAGAACCAGCCTCTGAATTCATTGATGCATCGTCGTCAATCTCTGACTTTACTTCTGATTCTTCTGCGGCAAGCAAAATATCCTGATCCTCCAAGCGACTGGCCTGACAGAATTCGTCTGGGGAATTTCTGGTCCCCTCTGTTACATTCATATCATTGATTGGCCCTAGGGAACAAAGTCCCCCCCAAGGACCCATCGTGTCCAAGCAGTCAAGCATAAGGAGCAAACACCTAAGAAGAAGATAAATAGAAAAAATGAGGGTCAAACAATATAGTTTCTCTTCAAAGATGACAATCAATCACACACGAACTTTAATTTTCAAAAATCTCAATAAAGTGAGAGACCAAATCGACTAACATGTATGAAAAATGGCAAGGAAGAAATATGAAAGTCAGACCTGCGTAAAATCTAAGCAATCCATTATTAGTGGTAATCTATGTGCTTGGGTTCCTGAGGGTTTATCAACTTGATTGATGTCCATAACTTGATACTCAATTTACTCGAAGATACTAAAATTGACCGGGAAAGTTTATAAATGAATGAAATACGCGTGTTCATAAACTAAGATGTATGTATTTCAAGTGTATCACTGAATATAAAAGAAGACAAGAGCTTGATAGATTAGATCAAACGTGTGTTAGGAAATTAACAAATACAACTAGGCAGGTACATATACTAAGGGAAAATAGCAAATAGGAGTGGAATAACCAGTCTTCAAGTAGAAATAAAGTAAAATAAAATTCGCACATTTAAAGGATTTCCTAATATGCTATGAGAACATGCATTGAAAACAAGCAAAATTAGTAGTTGTGATAAAGCTTTAGCTTGTGCCTATTTTAATTATTTTGATTCCGCATCGAGGTTTTTTAACTGGTAGCAATGCCCCAAGGCTCTTTATCTTCGTTTTTAGCACTAGTATTCACTCATTGGTGAAATTAAGTATTCTCGTGTAATCTTGGTACTGATCCCTAAGAGAGCGACCTCAGGCT